TATATAATATTATTATTAATTAATTTATTTTAGTTTTTTTTTTTTTTTTTTTTTTTTTTTTTTATTATTATTGAATAATAACACCACATCTCGTGTGCTTCACATTTAAATAAAACTACCAATTCGTACAGTTATCAAAAGTTCGTTGCTTTAGTTTTTTGAATTGTGCACAAGAATTCTTGTGCCCGACAGATATAAATCACAGGACATACGTTTAGAAGCGTTTTCCAATATTTGCCGATAGTATTCTTCGGGATCAACAAGTTCGTCGATTACTACGCGTCAATGCATTAATCTCACAGAGTTTGATTTTTTGAGAGCTTTCGAAACTGTCGAGTTGTCCGTTTTTTCTATTCGCCCGTCAATCATTGGTTATCGTGATACATATAATATCTTGACGCATAATACATATATTGTATTATTATATTTTCTAAGACAAGAATTAAAAGAACATGTATAGCAGAATTAAAAAAATTTTTTTACAACTATTTAAACCAAAATATAAAAAAAGCAAAATGTATCTAAAAATGAGTTCAACTCTTTAAAGCTATAAATTACACATTTTTATCTTAACTTTTTAAATTATTATAAATTAATACATTTTTTGTGTTATTTATCCACTTACGTACATTATTTTAGACTTCTATATATTTTTCTAATATAACAATTTTACGTTAATTTTATTATATCTGAGGTTAAAGCTTTATATTACTCTACAAGATATAAGATACTATTTCATTTAGCAGAAAATTTAATACCCAGCAGAAATTCAGCGACCTCGACAGTAAGTTCAGAGAATCGATTTTCGCGAGACATATATACGATGCGAAATTTTCGATGATACCAGCCGATCGATGAAGCACGCCATTAGTAGTTGATGAACCTATGCTTATGCTTCACCCTTTACGTCCTAGCGAACGATCGAGTGACCTACTTGTTACTTATCGACAGGTGGCACTACGCTCTAATTAACGGCAAAAACCAATACAGTAATTAAGTAAATTACTATCCACTTTTGATCAATAAATAAATGTGTGAAAAAATCGGCTTTTAAAATGTTCAGAGATTTATCTGATGTACTTTACAGAATTAAATTTTAATCAAGAATTAAGATCTTCAGACAGATTTTGAAGTCCGACTTTTGCATCAATGTGAATTAATAATTAAATTTATTTTACTTGAATTGATGACAAAACGCATACAAAAGTAATGAAAAATGTAACATCTTAAATAAAACAGTGATGAATACATGACATCCGCCGTCGTCATAGTTACATTTGCGTTTGACGTATTATTGACGATTATGCGCCCAATGCGGTTTCCAAGTTCAAACCACGACGCAGGAAAGTGAGCTAACAAAATAATCGTTCTGCTATTCGGCATTGCCGGTGATATTAATCGTTGTGGCAGACAGAATTGCGCTGCAAACAACGCACGGCCTTGTTCAAATTATTCTACTCGTTTCGAGTTTCACGGTTTTCTTCGTAACATGATGAAAAGCCTGTGAAAGCGACAATCACGCTCGTTACTCGATGCAAAGCTCGCTTTTTCGCACACTAATAAACGCACAAAAGGATTCTCACGCTATCGGCAATTATAAGTGTTACTGTGTTAAAAAAATAAAACTGCTGATATGACAGAGGTTCGCCAGTGATACTGATTATGTGAGAGTCGCATAATGTGCGTGCATGCCACGCATTGCATTCGCGCGAAAATTAATTCGTCGAGATATCACAGCACGACTGACCGCAAGAAATTGTGATAAATAAGCGAATGCACATAAATTTTGTTTTATCGTATAAATTAAACGTTTCTTGCGATGCACATTCTTTCACTAGTTCTCGAGCACTTTATTTTAGATAACTAGATTTTTATCGAAACAAAGTGCTCTCCATTAAGTTAATATGTCAATAAATTAATTATTTGTCTATTTAGATTAACCAAATTTCTTCTATTATTACATAGAAATCGTCTTATGTTTATATTAATGTTTAATAATAAAATTAATGGTTAATAACTGGATGTTAATGACATAATAAATCTTAAAACTTATAATGTTTCTCGATTTAAAGCAATAGAGCAAACAAGCAAAGCTTTAGTATAATTTTTTTTAATGAAATGACAAAGGGGCCTTTCTCTTTTTAAATTGCAAATTCTCCAAGGCGATATACAGAAAAACTCGAAGAAGATTCCTTTCGCTTATCGGTATGTTATGAGGCTGAAATCTGCAATTTCATGCGAACCAAGCATAACGACTTCTTTTGCTTTCGTGCTTTATCCCTTGCGTGTTAAAAACGAACGTGTTAGAATTTACCTCTATGTGAAAATTAATTCCACGAAGGTCCGTTGCACACACAAATCTAGTAAATCGCTAAATATGCAGAAACTGCAGAACTAAAGAGCGATACGTCATCAAATAGACCGTGTGCGAATCATTCAAGTGAAGATTATGCGATCAAGTAACGTGTTGACTGCTATCTAGAGGTGCAATTTCGAGGTCGTGAATCATTTCCTGTATTTGTTATTACGTTACTTGAAATTAAACAAATGACATTGAAAAGCTTTAATTGGACATATAGAAGTGGCTTTTATACCGATAATTGATAAAACTGCTCCAGCGTTACTTTTTATGTTGAGCATATTAAGAATAATGGTATGCATTAAGAGTATTTATTATGTAGAGGATAAAACACATTACGTATCTTTTTTAAGATTGAAACTAAAAGTTTGGTGAGAGGTTACCGTGATAACAAAGCGATAAAAGTGTGATCCGCATTTAAATCAAATCTATAAGACGCGCATTGAATAAAAGCAAGAAAAATTTCAAACAAATTATTTTATTTCACTTCTTAAATTAATCTGTTGCAATTTTGTATTAATTTTCAGTTAAGAATAATATCTAATACGAGCAGATTGAGAAAATGTTCAATTAAAAACTTGAAATAAACAAGTAAAATTTAAGGAGGAATTTGTGTTAAGTATATTATCTTTGCATGTAATTACATCACATTTCCGTTGAAATCAGAACATATCTCAATCATAACAATTAAAATACAAACGTTCGTTCCAAGCAACAAGCTCCGAGGAATTCACAGAGGACACATGATGCATGAAAAAATTTTATTTACCATCTAACGAAGCGAAACGAGTCGTGGCATCACTTAATGATCGAATTATTAAACGGATGGGGCGCGATGAGACTTGGAGTGCCACTGAGCGCCGTTCATATCGTTCTTCTTAGCTGGTTAATATGCACTTCCGGTGCCACAGAACAGGAACTCCGGTATTGACACTTCTCGAAAAGGACGATTTTTCCCCCCGTATGAAAGGATTTTGGTGTTATACTGCAGTAGATAACGTTTATCACACGCACAAACCACAATGTGCTCGTAATAATGATTTCCTTGTGTCCGCTACGCAACAGTCAACTTTATCTTCTCCTTCAAATGTTTATTCAAACGTCCGCGAGCGTGTTTAAAAATTGTCGATCACACTTGACGGATCATGCTCGCGATAGAGCTCGATCGTATCGATCCACCGCTCGACTGCACTTTTTCCTCGAAGAAGAAACTTCAGTAATTAAATGGAAATAATTTTCTATACTTTTGAAATAAATTTCTTCTCATAAGACAAACTTTGAAAGATATTTTTTCAAACTTTAACAAGACGTATTTAATTGAACTGGCGCTCGATGAAGGACGAGTTCGAGAAGGCGCGTCACAACTTTGCCAAACTTTTAAATGAACGGCGGGGATGCAGAGTGCACCCTTCGTGACGAAGCGCGGCAATAGATTTCTCAAAAATACAACACAATAAGTTTGATGCCAGCTCGCGACGCGACGAACGGCACGGCACGACTCTCGCGAAGGTTGTTACACGACTGTCAAAGCGGCGGCATGGAGCAAACGCCGAGACAGTTTCGCTCGGAGCGATCAGTCAGCTAGACGCCCCCACTCTCGAAGTCACGTCACTACCTCCCGCGGTGTGGATTCATCACCAATTGTAATACACGCTGTCAGAAATTCGCAATTGTAGAGAAAATTTAACGCAGATGCAGCATCAGAAGCTACAGTTGCATTTAATGAAATGATGGTAATCATAGTAAGTCGATTTATAAAGTTTTATTAAAGAAATTGCATCTGTCTTTCTTCTCGAATATAATTGCATTATTGGAATATTGTACAATTTATTATAATTTTTCACGATCTATGCGTATATTTTAAAGAAGAGCCAATAATATTTTTCAACATGGTTCTTCATCAACACTAATTATTATAGAAATCATAATAATCACTTTATGTATTTATATTATAAATGTTTATTTTTATTTTATTTTTATTATGTAATATATTTTGAATTTTATTATAAAATTAATTGCGTTTAATATTATGTAGAATTGCTACAGATTATTAACACTAAAAACATTGCAGAATATTTATATTTCCGGGAAATCTAAATTCTGTTTTAATGAAAGAAAAGATAAACTAATTTCTTCTATTTGTGTATTTTTTTTTATTTTTATTCTTAAATAGAATAAATTAAATTATTCTTAAATAGAATCGGGTTCAGATTTATCGCTGTGGAATTTTTTTTCACGCTATCAGAATGATCAAACTTTCGCTTTTACTCCAAGTGGAACAGTTAGTTCCTATTAATTGCTTACATAAATTATAGATAAAACAGAAAGTGTGTGTAGAAATGCGTGTAAAATTTTTAAAGATTAATTTAGATATGTTTTATTTTAAAAGACACATACGACATTATTGATTCATTCAAATTCATTACTCAAATTTTATGCTTGTATATTTTATACAATTATTTTTTTCCGAGAAATGCATTTATATATTCTTCTCTCTCTTGTTTCATATCAAACTTATACAAATAATTATTAATATCATATCGCTCATCGCGCATCATCCTGTTTACCTTCTATTGCTTAATGCTTGTTTTTTTTAATCGCTTATCGATTTTGATCTACTTATCAGAACGTATCACGTAACTATATTAACAAACCAGAAGAGAGCGTCAAGGATAAGAATCGTACGTCAGAAGGGCAATGACTCATGAAACAGCAACCGTGAAGCTGGTTGTCCAGCTGGCGCGTAAATGCCGACACATGTTCTCGTCAGGTGCATACAGCAACGCGTGAATTCGTTCGTTGTGCGTCAAAAGAAACGGTTACGAATGCTGCAAAATTTAAAAACAATGCAGTCTTACAAAAATATCTATTTAAGAGAAAATATAAATATTTATAAAATTGCGTATTACGCAATATGTGGAAATGCATAAACTTCATTACGTGTAATTTTTGTAATAAATTTATTGCGTGCATCTAGAAAGTCAAGTATATTATACATCTTACTCTGCTTTTTCAATATAAATTATTATAATAGATTATCACAGTAACCAAACCTATGTAACCTTGTGTTGTTTATTACCAGCATAATTTATCCAATGATTAGCAAAAAATGGGTGCAAGGTGAGCAACTTAACGATTTATTGCAAGACGCGTGCGAATAACGGCGCGTTCTTTTTGTTCTTTAACTTTATGAATCATGCATATAGAAGAGAATATAGCAAACGAATCATTATTTCGTGCGACTCACCTTGCTGCATATCGTTGCTTTGTGCAAAAACGAACCTGCCGCTGAACTTTGACGCCTATTTCGTTTCTATTCTAATTTATACAATCAAACTTTGTCTGCGTGAAAAAATGTCGAATAAGATCAAGTGTCAAAAATCTCTATTTACGTTATTTTTTGCACATCAGAAAATCCGCAAAAAACAATTTCATGCGAATAGTTTATTCGTCATACGCGAAATAAAAATTCTTCTATGAAGGTTAAATTTCACTGTCGAATAAATATTTGATTAGGACAGAATCTCTGGCAGAGATCTGGAATTGTTAAACTTACGCATGTTCCGGCTATCAGTTGCGAAAGATTTACTTTCAGAAATCCACATTCCATTTGCAAACCGGGAGAAATGAATAAGTCGCTTCCTACTCGAAAGTACTTTTCCAACATGCATCAGCGACCTGCCTTAATGCAACGTGCATATGTAATAGCGATTAGTGCATACCGGGGTACAATGACTCGGTAAACGGCGAACCGCACGCAACCGATGCATGCGTCTTCTCGACACACGTCGCGTGACAGTAAATTTACTTGCGTACGCTAAAAAAATGTTTGCTTTCGTATTTCTGACTAGCATTGTCAGCAAAAAAATCCGACGCTTAAAAAAATCATGGATATTGTGGTAATGAACGGTTTGAAAAAAAAATTATAAATAGAACTTTGGAGTTAAAATTTCAAGATGAATTTGAAGTTGATATAAAAGTTGTATTATAAAAATGATTTGAAGACAAGTTTTATGAAGATATCTATTCAATTATTAATATCACAATCTATAATTTTATATTTTACCTTATCTCTGAAAGTATATTGTCGCGAACAGTTTTATATATATAACAATAATTTTCTGATTACTACGAAATACGATCTTTCGCTACATAAAGTGCATTTACGCTTCAGTTAAAAAAAAGAAACAAATTTAGCAGTGCTTTAATATATCACAGAAAATTATTCGCAGAAAATTAGTATTATTATGTAATATCTCGTCGTTATTCGCGTTTATTATTATTAGACAGGCGGAAGAAATTTATCCACATGAATTAACTGCGCGCGTGACAATAGTTGAAAGAGAATCTTTTCACAATTCGACGGGGTACAATTGGCAATGTACGTGTGGGTTGTATTATGCTTCATTCGTATTGTTCACTTGATGCAAACTACACATAACTGATTACTAATTTATATAATTCTTATAATACATTTATATATACATTTATATATACATAATTCTTATAATATAATTCTTTGCATACATCAGAACCAGTTTATGTTAAAAAATATTCATTAAAAAAAAATATTTATTACTCAATTATAAAACAACTCTTATGAAATTATTTATTTAATAAATGATTTATGATTAACTATTTTTTTATACTATTTAGCTCTCTTCAATTATTTTTATACTTTGATAATCGTGAAACTTTATCCTGGATCTTTAATACAACACCCATCGTCGGCGAATTGGCTTGTGAATATATCATTAAGAAATAAGTTAGTAACTAGAGATTAACTTCTAATTATCGTCAGAAAATAAGTTACTGATTAGAAATGCAATAGAAATTTTTTCTACCAATAACTGGTCAAAAAGGCAACAGTAACAGTCTTGTAGCATCACTTTTCTTCTTACCAACGGTTGGCAATCGAGATTTCTTGAATTAAAGGTGCGAGATTATTTTTTTATATATATTTACATTGACGATTGTCAGCAAAATATACAATGTTAGCAAATAATCATAATTTCGATATAAACACAAGAACAAATGTTTGCGCATTGTTTATATAGAAATTGATATCTGTCACAAGTTTGTCATTTTCTTAGATTTTTGAGTATTTTCCGCTTCCTTTTTCTTCTTTTTCAACATTCTCATATGCTTTGCACCTTTCAAATGAGCTTGCCATTGATCCTCTTCGATAAATATTCTGTTGCACACCTGAAATACATAAAAACTTTTTTATTTTAAGAATTATATAAAAGCACTTATATAATACAATCTTATAACAAAATATTAATACTTATCTTATACTTAATAGTAATAGTAATCTTATACAAAAAATTAATAAAGTCTGAATCATATAACTTAATCACAATTTTCAGCTTATTTTAAAAGTAATATAATTAAAAACTTTAATTAAATGTCAATATCGCTTATGTGACATTTTGCTGAATATAAAAAAAGCAAAACTTCCAGAAATACTAAAAATATATTTAAAAAATTATACAATAATATATAAGCTAGTTTGATCTTATGATGCATCAGGGAATTAATTACTGAAGTAAATTTTTCATAAATTACCTCGCAATAATTATATATGTTTGTACTGCTATCAGTGATCTTTTGGTTTTCGATGTTTTCATTCAACGGTCGTTGTTCAGGTTTTTCACCTCGCAATATTGCGGAAACGATCGCTGCTGCAGGTTCTAAGACGCAACAGTCCCACTTCGTCACGTCAGTGCAATCCAAAGAATAAACAGGGGGGACCTGAAAAAAAAAACAAAACCAAATATATGATATATTCAATTTAGACTTGTGTATTTCGCGGGAAAAATGATTGGCAGTGGATAGATTGAGTTATTTCAATCGAATTGCTATTTATAGTGTGAGCACGTTTATTATTAAAAACGAACTAAGCCAAATAAATTACCTGTCGATCACTCCGCCGAATCAGCCTATTCATAACCCACTGCTCTTGCCTTTTCGCGTATCTCTTAGTGACGAGTTTTAAATAATCCACTCCTTGTTGCAGTAATTTTTTTCCCTGTACAAAAATTTAATATTTAGACAGCTATCGATCTTTCTTTATCAATTAACTATACATTAAATTTCACATTTTAATTATATTTCAAATATTTTCTTTTCAATATATAAAATGATTTATCTAGAGCTGTAATGCAATTTTCGCTAAACAACTTTGACAACTTTCTTTACAACTGCACCGGAAATACAGTGTTAGCAAACGATTTGTCAACGTTTAAAATTGAAAAAGCCGTAAAAAAAAACTGCGACGTACAATCGCGAGGAAATATCGCGCGACGGAAGAAGCAAAAACGGAGGACTGCACAGTGAAGATACCGCGAGAGACGGATACGACCGCGTAGTAAACTCGGTTGCAAATTGCACGGTGCATTTTAATGGCAGAAAAAGGCCAGGGGATCCCGGCTGAAGAGCAGCTGCTAAAGCAAACGGCGAGATCAGGGCTACGCGGACGCAGGTATCGATGAGCCATCTCCGCGTCGCTTACCTTTTCGCTCGCGCGCTCCTCCTCAGGCAACGTGAGGTAAGCGTGGAACTCCTTGAAGCCGATGCTCTGGAAGATGCCTTTCGTGTAATCGGGTGACCTGGAATGTAAACATTCTCTCTTTAATCGCGCCCGCCGGTTCTTTCTTCCCCGTCGCTTCGACAGGATTCTCTCTCCGTGCCTCTCTCTCTCCCTCTCTCTCTCTCTCTTCTCTTCGCGCAATTGTCTCGTATTATCGTCAGAAGTGCGGCTAATAATCGATTAACCAAGATCCCCCCTCCCTCCCACCCCAAACCGGGATATTGCACCTGGCGTATCAAATGTGATCGTACAGTCGCAGAAATTGCGTGCGGCGTTTTTGTCGGCTCGGGCGGTCTTTTAAATTTCGCTCGTGCTTAAAATCCGTTTAATGGGAATATTTACGGTTTACTTCGGACGGCGCGAGATGTGAAACGCTCTTAGTCGTAAGAGAGAGAAAAGTATAAACTTTTTTTTATAATAATGCACCGCAAAATGAGATAACATTGCAGCAGCGTGGATAATTTTGCAGTATATAAAAAACTTTTAAAGCGAGAGACAGATTGTGGAATAATCCAGTACGATAAGCCAACAATGTGAAATTAGTAAATGTCGAAACTGTAATTATCAAATTATTTTCATACGCAGTCATATTAAACAATACTATAATGTGTCTTTTGATTAAAAAATATAATTATAGAATTTGATTATCTCATTTACTTGAAAAATCCCAGCGGATTGATAAAAAAATGTATGAAACCGGCCTGATTTCTAATATTAATTGCAGTAATCGTTATAAAGAGATAAGTTATATCACACAGATAACAGATTGCGTGAAAAGAATTTCAAGCTTCTTAAGATTCCGACAGCATAATTGCGTAAATGCTACCATGTATCGTACATGGCAGAGGAAGTGCGAAGATAACGCTGATAATTATTTTTACTTGCGAACATGGTCATTATGGGCAACTATGTTTAGCGTAAAATGTCATCCGAATATATGTTCGCTTGCATGCATACATGTATTTGCATTTGTTGAGGTCGAGAAATGAAGATTATAAGATTTGTGACAGTGCGTCATTATTTCAAGGAGAAATGTGTGCTTCGAAAGCTAATATGTAAAAGAGTGAGAATCAAAGCAAGATATGAATAAATTATTGACAGCCGGCTGACAGAGGAGATATCTAATTTTTATTATATTATTTTGCTGCAAATTATAGAATTTTTATAGTAGAAACATATATATTGCACTATCACAAGATTTATTAAGCGTCCTTGATATGAAATCATTACTTTGTTCAAGCATTAAAGATCTAATTCTGAAAGATTACTTAAGACATAAGTAACATTCAACAAGACAATGTATCCCAATATTTCTGAATTATAATAATAGCCGCCTTTTGCAAATTCTTCACTCATTAGCGCTTGCTGGCTAATTTACGATTTACTATTCGAAGGCATCTCTGCCAAGGACCGACGATACGGGCGCGTCAATTTCGCGCGAAATCTTATCACACGCGTCCGATGACAGCAATCGTGTTGACGACCTCGCTCGGTGTAACATCGACTTATGTTATGGCGGGAAAAAGTCCGCGCTATCGCTAGCACGTCTCACTGGTTTGCACACGTGTCAATGCCAAATGTATGCTGGTGCCGAGGAATTAGATTCGGTGGTGCCGTGCGTACGTGGCTTTCGCAAGCTATCCTGCCGCAAAATTTCAAGCATCGAAATCGATACTGCAAGATGATGTGAATAAAATCAATGGGCTAAATTGATGAACCAATATAATTTATGCCTTTCGAACATTACTGGTTGCTTGACTGTTTTTTGTTAACACAATGCATTCGCTTTTTTTGTATTTTCTCATACGCTGTGCACTCAACATCGAAGGAAAATATTTGTTTCGCGATAATAAATTTTAAGCTTTTTGTAAAATATGATTTTTGAACAATTTCATTCATCTTTGTAACTGATAGTAAATTCGCTGGAAAGAAATAATCAGATTATTAAAAAGACAAAAATGTAAAATGTACAATTAATTAGATCTCAAAACTTGCAATAACCAATACGATTTCGAAATAATTAGAAGTAAACTTGTTTATCTATAATTCTACGCTAGCGACTATCCTACGATAGCCGTGTTGACTCCACTTATCTATTTCTCATTTTATTTTCCAAGACTATTTAATTTCATCTTGTCCAGTTTTCAAGTATACGTCGTAAGTATAAATTATAAGCACGAATATCTGTAACTGAAATTATTAAGATCATAAAATTCTTTATTTTTAAAACGAGAAAAAAGTCAAAATTTTTAGTACAAATTTCGAGTTTAAGTGTTACGCTTTTAATAACTATTCATTATTTTATTCGTCAAGTATTCGAACTTTTTACATGCAATATAGTGATATATACGGGAGAAACGCTATTTATTTTCCAATTAACATTGTTTGCAAGACCTTCAGTTCAGCCGGAAAGAAATGAGACTCGCGCTTTCTTCTTCTCAGGCAACTTCTATATTTTTTTTTCTCAAAAAGTGAGCACGATAGTGATAATAATAAAGTACTGATAATAGTCACGACGAGATATTTAACAGACTACAGGTCGCAACTCTCTCTGGTAGTAGCAATGATAGCACTTCTGCGCCAGTACTACAGCTTGTAATTAAGATAACGACAGAGAGTCAGCAATAAGCGCCGCGCGTATACGTAACCGTTCTAAAATATTTTTACAACTTGTTGCCAGGCAGTTCGTACGCACTACATGTCGCGCGATATGACATGTTCTTCATCGCGAAGTATAGAGTTATCGGGTTACTTGCGAGACAGATAATCGACCACTATTGCCAGGATTTATGATCTTCGTGAAACAGTAGCACGCTATCTTTTCTGCTCTATATTTTTTTTTTCCTAGTTTGACATCCTTCGCGAGAGGAGGCCGAATGCTAAATGATAAATCTACTGCGAGAGTGTAAAGTCCGAGCCGAAACATTTCGCGGAAATTATCGATTGATATTTGCGTATTAATGTGCAGATGAAAGTTTGCGATATTACAATAATCGATCAGTGCACTTTCACCGACAGAATTTTAATATAAAGATTCACCCGACAAAAAATAGGACACATTAATTATTACCGTTCCAAATTTTTCTTTTACAAATTCAAAAGATCATAAAGCTGTACTTCACACTTTATTCCGCTTTTTAATTGCAGAGTTTCACACTTTCAAATGCATTTTTCTCAAAGTGTCATTAATAGTCTCACATATATGCTTTTATTGCTTCTCCACGAATCGGTGAATCTATGTAATCGACATAGTTGCGGACTCGCTTCGCTCGGAAACGATCAATAGTGTGTAAAACGGTGAGAGGTTCCGCTAGTCAGCAACGTATTCAGCAATCTTCCAATCTTCCAAGGCCGATCGATCTACATTGATACTTCGCCGGCTTACCACGGTGGTCACCGTATCGATAATAAGATTACGTATGCTACACTGCGCACAATTACGGCATTAATGGCGCCATTTTATGTTAACAGAGCGTAATATAATGCAGCTGTATTACTTTTTGCTATTGGATTGTGTCGTCCATCCCCATTAGCTCTTTTTGCCGTGGCTTCATTGTCTCCTCCAATGAACAATGTTACTCATGTCATTCGTGAAATTGCGCGAATCACAATGGAGAGATTGATCGAGTATTCCGATTTTTTTATCGCTACTTGCTTCGGACATATCGATCAAACGTGTCTTTCGTTTGTATAAACAAAATTAATTATGCAACAAATTTAAATGCGCGGTCAAATCGCATTGTTTGAAGTAATCGAACATCCTGAAAGATATAAATTTTCGACGGAGCCACATTGAAACACACGGATAGCATTTTTTTAAATAAATTTTTTCGAGATTTATTGACATAATATATTTGCGATGAGAGTTGCGCGATGATTAATGATACGCGATAGCCATCTATCAATTTATCACGAAAGGTCCACGTGGTATTTTTATCGGGGCACTATCTGTACTATCAAGAATACTGTAATTGACAGACGAACCTACAATTGCCGCGTGCAAGAGACATTTAATTTCCATCCGCGCACAGCTGGCGAATTCAATCTTGATTACGGACCCGCGATTTATCGAAGATCTAGCGGAGCACACCTTTCTACCAATTGTGAATAATTTCTCCGCAGAGTAATTTCTCCCTTCGTAAAATGAGAGACGGAGAAATGAATACCTCGCAGAACGGGGTTGATGAGATATTTGTCAATCTTATGATCGGAATAAGTAAATCGCATACGTCAAAGAATCGATAATAGAATGTATAAAATAAGCTTCTGATATTTGTGTGACGTAAAAGCGAGCAAAATGCCATTTCACGTTTGATATTTGAATTATACTCGTTTAATGTTTTGATTCAATTAAAGCCCGTTAATAATCGATTGTCATGAAAGACATATAAAATTAATATCGGAGATTGAAAACAAATTGTAAAACAATTATAAATCGATAAATTATCTATTTATCGCCCGTCTCATTCAGGCTAGTTTACCTATTCATTCATATTGTGCCTCAATCTTGCTTTAATTATTATCGTCGATATTTCTAAATTGGATTTAATGTAATCCGAATATGTGTGCGATAACACATGATAAAATGCTTATCTACACTTTACGCAGTCGACCCAGCAAATCGCCAGTTTCGTTTTATCGCGGGGATACTTTTGCCGTTGCGTTATAGCAAATATCGATGCCCTACATATTTCATTTCATCCGTAAATTTTATTTCGATTTTAAATTATCCACACCGTTTTTTATTACGTCATAACTTTGAATATAAATATAGTTTACACAATTATTTATATAAAAATAATATAAAGTACAAATTCTTTCTTAGAAAAGATGATCCGATTATTATTCTGTTTGTAGCATAAAATTAAAACAAATGTGTCTTTTCCATTATTTAATCAGCTAAGCACAATTTTTTGCCTCTCAGAAATCCTATTCGAGGATTATTTAGAACAGAGGTGAAAATCTAATGTATAAATAATTATCCTATACATCTATCATCCTGTTTTAGCAGAGAGACGG